GCAAGAATGCTACTAGTATGCAACGGGTTAAAGAGAGTGAAAGTTAGAGAAAAGACTGTGTCTAGGGGGGGATTGAGGAAAGGATAAAAGAAGAATGGGATTCAAGAAGATAGATGTCAATTGATGTTGCATTTAAATTTTTGAAAATTGTAGTTATCAGGGAAACAAGTAAATGGGAGGGAGTTCCACAGGTGGGAAGTGGGAGAAAAGAAACTGATGGAGTAAAAGTGGCAGTTACATTTAATTATTTCAACAGTAAAAGGGTAGGACCTAGATGCCAATCTAGTAGCATGCTTAAATTCATGTAGTCAAGGCACCAGGGAAAAAACTTGTCAGAGCAGTTGCCATGAAAATATTTGTAGAAAAGACAGCGGGAAGCCACGTCATGTCAGTGAGAAAGTAACTGAAGTCAAGATGCCAAGTCAGGATCGATTAAATTACAGATTCTTCTTTGGATTTTGTCAAGAACCTCAAGATGAATAACAGGAGCACCAGACCAGATATGGCAACAGTATTCAATGCATGAACGAATGGTAGATTAGTAAATGTGCAAGATGAACTTCAACATGAAAAACTTTCTGGCATAACACAGTGACCCAACTTTCCTTGCAGTAGATGCAGCTATTGATTTGGTGTATTCATTCCACTTCAAGTCAGTTGAAAAAGTGAGACCAAGAAGGCACAGTGTGTTGCTCTCCTGGAATATAGCATCAGCCATGCTGATGATGAGTGGGAAATTTTCACTATGGTAGTTAAATGAATTTTGAATGGATGGGGAAGGGGGATGATGATGATGTCTGTTTCTGACTGCTCTGGCCTGACTACCAATGTGACTACTCCATCACTTTTGTGGGTTCCTGTATTTATTGGGAACAGGTTTCTCTCAGGTGTCAAGTTACAAGTTCATCTACATATAGGCATAGTAAAATGAAGGGTTTTGATGACTTCATCCTTCAGTCTCTCACTGGGAGGGTCAGCTGAATTCTTGACTTCAACAGACAGTCAAGGCAGATGTGTCTTTAGTATGAAAAAATAACAAAATTAGTTTATGAATTTGGACCTAGGTATAGGCTAGCTTGTTTGTTTCAATTCTCAGTTTTCTACTGGCAAGTAGGAGTGATTGATTGATACTATTTGTTTCACTTAATAGTTAAAACCCTGATAAGTTATGAGTTAAAACCCAGACAATTCCAGATGCTAATTCAATTTATTGAAATTGAAATTAAATGCTTTTAATTTCTCTAACAGCAGAGCAAGGTTACTTCTGTTATGCTAATTAGAGTCCTAATTACCTCGCTTGGCTACCTAAGCTTTCCATGTCAACTTCCCAAGTTAATTCTTATTCCAAACGGCACCAGGTATAGATTCATTCACTTGTAAAATCCACACCACTAACTCTGTTACACTCTTCCCTCAAACACTTGTCATTTATCCTATATAGTAAGTTAGAACAGGAATTCTCATGTCAACCAGCCACCAATTATAGATTCAGTTACTGGCAAAATATACACCAGCAAATCTGTTTACATTATGTTGTAACTAAAAATTATAATTTTTGCAATTACCAATGTTGTTTAACCCTTTGCAAAGAAGTTATTAAAGATTTTTTTTTTTTTTTAATCTGTCAATTTAAACGTACAACTCATTTTAAAGTTTTAAAATTGCAACCTTTGAAACTTCAAAATTCAGTACATTTTATATAAATGGTTGCTATTTGTTTACATCTGGACTGGGTTTCATCCTAAATCTGCAGAAAGATGCTGCTCAGCAAAGAAAACTTGGACATAATTAGGTAGGTACCTTCATGAGATCGCTAAAAAAAAGAGCATAGCATGATGAAAAAGATGCCAAACATGACGAAAACAAAATTTTATCATCTAAATGTTTATATTAAGAGGAAAGATCCAAGTATTTTGGGGGTATTTTTTTTACATTTTTGAATTGTTCCTAGCACGTCCGAAATTTTCGTTAAAAATCTTTTTTTTTTTTTTTTTTTCAGAAAATAAAACCATTTTTTCCATTTTATAAAAAACTGAAAATCTCATTTTGAAATTCTTTTAAATATCAATTATCGTTTTTCCAAAACTTATTTTAAGAAAATCAGAAATTATAATGTTTATTTAAAATATTTTGAACAAAGCTTAACTTAGCTTCTGCGTTGAAAAGATGTAATTTGAAAATAAAACAAAGCAGGTCATAAACTTTCGTGTCATTTGACAGGTGATGAATGACATATTGACGGATTCCGTCAGGCTAATTTGTTCTACAGAAGGAGAAAAGTGAAATAATTTACATTTAAGTGAACAAATTATTTAACCTCGTTATTTTTAAGGAAAACTTTCAGCGCTCTAATTTTTTTTTGTACTTACCTTTACGTTTACGATGCTTTATGGAAAATATATTATAAAGAAATTAAAATAAGACTGTTAAGAATGAGATTATATTTCATAAGAAAGGTATCTAATTAATTTTTAGGTACCTTTCTTATGAAATTTTATCAGAAGTGTACTTAAAATACTATAATTTTATGTACAATTTGTTATTTGTATTTCCATTCATTTTATTATTAATTTTGATATTTCATTTATGGAAAAATGTCATAACTGAGATTAATATAAAAATAAGATCATATAAATTTCATAAGATGATACTGATACGTGTAGGTACCCTTCTCATTTGAAATTGAAAAATCAAATTAACTTCTTCACATGTGTTTCACAAAAATAAATCTATATCTCAAAAGGACATTTACGAACTGAATGCAGCTTTTAATTAATTTTATAATATTTTAACAACTTAAATGTAAAAAAACTATTATAATTAAAGAAATAACAAATAATTGTATTAAAAAATCAGTATTTAAGTTAAATACTAGACAGAAATTCAATCCATGTAACGTTTTTTTTTTTTTTTTATTGCATGCATAATACTTCCGGTCTTCCGTAGATTTGATTTACAGTGTTATTATTGACACAAATTATATTTTTTTATATACTGTTGTTCACTAGTTTGTAAAAAAGCTTCGAAATTATAATCTGTAAATATATATCTACTTAATAACAACAGTCATTAAATTTTATAAATTTTTCCCTAATTTTAGAAGAATTAACAACATTTAATGTAAAAATAATAAAATATTTCAGAAATAAATAATTGTTTTAAAAATTCATTTTTCATCAAAATATCTTTTTGCTTTCAGACAATATTGTCCATGTTCATTGAAATAAATAAAAGCAATTAAAAGCTTTTGAAATTAAATAATATCTTTGTTTTATTGAGTTTTGTATGTTACAATTCAGAGATGATTTTCAAGTAGAGGTGGTCCAACTAAAAAAAAAAATGATTTGGTTTCCTCAAAGCCTTGTGCTTTTAACTAATATAATCACTAATCTTCCCAAAATTGAAATTATAGAGTTTTCGTACAATTAATTAGGAGGGGGTAATACATATGAAAAAAAAAATTTCTGCCATGACTTTAATAAAAAAAAACATTTATTTGTGAATAGTTTCTGAAAGTTTCATTAAAATCCAACAATTATTTTTATTTTTGCAAGATTTTCCAAATTAATGTGTGTCATACAGAAAAAAAACGTGCTAAAATTTTGTTATTTTACTAGTTCCAGTGATACAAAGAGAAACAAGGTTTTTTTTTTATCAAAATTTAGAATGTTCTAAAAAGAAGAAAAAATTTTTTTAAAATAATTAAAATAAACTTTGATCTTTCCTCTCAATAATAACATAAACATTTAGACACTAAAATTTTGTTTTCATCAAGTTTGGTGTCTTTTTCATCCTGCTATACTCTGTTTTTTAGCAATTTCATGAAGTTACCTATGATTAGGTATATTGAGATATTGGAACAGGTGGTGAAACAGTAACAGTATAAATAGTATGTGCAGAAACTACCAGGATTAATTATCTGGAAGTGCAGCTGTAACTATACAATAGAATAATTTTCCAAGAGCCTCTATTGAAACTATGGGTACAGTTTAGATCCCATTCACAAAATGGCAATAAAGTAGATATTATACACCATTGATGGGATAAGCTCTTCAGGAGTTAGACTATGGTTTGGAACTCTATCAAGATGATAATGCCAACCCAGAATAAATTTACCTCCAGCACCCTTAATAAAGCGACAAACCATCCAGTAAAGAAGATAATACAGAAAAAGATCCATTGGAAGAAAGGAGGATTAAAATGGCTCTTTGGGAATGTGCTAACATATCCTACCCCGACTCTAGAGCTCCTTTCTTACAGCTGAAATGTTGCAAGCCTTTCACTACTCTATCACTATTTTCATGGCAAATGTTCTGACAAGCTACATTCATTAGTTCCACCAATTCATACCTTCACAGCTAAGACTCATGATGTCATGTACACTGAGATGAATCATCTCCATTTTCTTCTTATTCCATTAATAAGAAGAAAATTCCATTTGTTTTTAACTCCTTCCCAAGTTATTTACTACATGCAAAGTGGATTTTAACCAATCACTAACAATTTTTTTTTTTCTATGGTCAAATGTTACCTTGCTTACAAAATTTTTTAAAATCTGCACTTGTATGAACATATTTATTCCTTCTATGTTCATCATCTTTTAAACCTACTATCTTAAATTGGCATATTTGGTGTTTACATTGGATGAACAGTTAATAAAAAAAAACAATTTAGATTGCAATAAGTACATATTTTATATATTTTAAACATATGAATTAAATTTATAAAAAAAAAACAGTGTATAAAATTATATAAATATTTTTTTTACTAAGAAGATTATACACCTCACTTAAAGTTTTTTTTAATATTTTAATTGAAACATTACAGAACTACCTAAGTTTTAAATTACCTTATCTATTATTTTTTGATTAAAAAGAAAAAATGTATTATTTGCTTTTACATAAGTTTTAAAATTGAATGAACTTGTAGAAATGATTAAATGATTTTACATCATTTTGTTAATTAAATGATATTATTTTATTTATTTTAATGTTTTGTAGGTGGCAAGATCAATGTATCACATACCTCACCTGAACAAATGATGTCCGGTATTTTCATTAAAGTTGTGATGAAAGATAGCCCTGCTGGCAGGGATGGAACCTTAAAAACTGGAGATAGAATATTGGAAGTTAGTATAATTATTATTTATTTTTTTGGCTTTTGCTCCTTCTGAAATTAATATTTGCTTCAAATAATTTTAAAACTGGTTGATAATTTTCTTTAATAAACTTTTTAAATTTTTTATAATTTAGCTGAATTACCTGCATTTTGCTGTGTGTCAGACATTTTTTTGTAAGAAAATTGATTGATTTTAAATCAATGCTATATGGTGAAAAATGATGCATTTCTATATTACTCAATGATCTTGCCGATGTGTCCTTGATCTTCTGGCTTTCTCCTTCTATATTTTGGATAGAAGTCATTCCCTTGTTCAAATTTAAATCAAAGGGGGGGAAATTTTCAGTGGGGTGGTGTCCAAAAACAGCTTGATCTAACCCCCTTGATATGTATTTGATGCAATACTTGATTGAATGAATTATTGAGCAGATTTCAACATTGACATGACAATTGAATTGTTACAACAAATATCTATTGTAAGGCACTACCCACTCATTGGTGATTTCTTGCTCAACTTGACATCCATATTGTCTCATTTTGATTTTGCTGATGTGACCTCTATCTTTTGGCTTTCTCCTATATTTTGGATAGGAGTCATTCCCTTGTTCAAATTTAATTTAAATCAAAGGGGAAAAAAATTTTCAATGGGGGGTTTGTGCCCCCCTTTAATCAAAATGAAATATACTTATCCAAATACCCTGGGTAATGTAGTTTCATAATATATATGGTTATGGGGGGTCTATCTTCAAAACCCTAGAAGGAGTTCAATAACAGATGGACAGAGGCTACAATTTTATATATAATATTTTAGGAAATTTTACTATAATAAACATAAGAGAAAACCATCTTCAATTCAACATAATTGTATATTAACTTGAAATTTGAAATTAAAAAATATACAGTAAACCTTGTATTTTGACAAAACTAAATTAAGATTAAAAAATTAACTGAAATGAAGATTTTAGCTTTTCTAAAAAAGAAAAACTTTAGGATTAGATATTCTGATGGTTGTTTTTGTGATATTGTCAGTTTATATTTTGCAATTCTCTATTCTTACTGTCTTATGCATAAAGGTAAATGGCATTATATGCCACCTATAGAAATGTAGAAATCCTTAGTCCTTTTTGCAAGGAACATTACATATATTTTTGTAATGATAATTTTCAGTATGTAAAAAAATTGTCAATTTAATATTTCAGTAAAAGTTAAGATGAAAGAAATAAAATTTATCACTTTCAGAATATTGCCTGTAAAAAATTTTATATATTCACATATCAATTTTGTTTTAAATGAAACCTGATAATTTTGTTCATTCTGCAACAAACTTATTTTTTAAATTTGGAATTTTTCAGTCTTGGTTTAAAATCTCATCTACTTTAATTAGTTTTCTAATCATCTATTGTTTGTTTTAACTTGTTTTATGTATTTTCTCATGTATGTTGTATAATACTTGTTCTTACCAAATACTTTTAATGCATTGTCAGTTAAAATAAATTTCTTTTATACTTAGCATATTTTAGATGAGTCATATAAAATGTTTTTATTTTGTTCTTGGATCATTAGTATTTTATTTTCATGTCCAATTGTATTTTAGGTAAATAACAAAGATTTGCGGACAGCATCTCATGATGAAGCTGTGGAAATTATTCGGAATGCTACAAACCCTGTTCACTTCTTAGTACAAAGCTTAACTGATGCTTCTTGTGTAAGTATTTCAGAATTTTCCAATATTTTTCTCTTAGTGTTAATAGAGCTAAAAATCAATTAAATGAAAACTGATTGTGTGATTGATTTTTAAAGATTTCATTTCATTTATTATAAGATTAGATAAAAGTTTCTACTTGTATCTTTTGAGTAGAAATATTTTTTCAGAAGAGAGATTATTACTAATTCCATTTGATAAAATGAAATGCATCTATAAAATGTTCTGATTAGACTAGGTGGATGGCATATTTCTTTAATTTATTTTTCCTTTTACTATAAATTTTTTCTGATACTTGTCTCTTGAGAATAAATGTGCATAATTTGAAATAATTAATCAGGGTCCAATTTAATGATTTCAGTTTAATTAATGCATGCAGTTTGTTTGGAACATTTTGAAGCTGAAGAAAAGAGGCCAAGATAATAACAGATAAAGTAGAGCAGAAATTAAAAAAAAAAAATTCTTAAGACTTTTTATCAGAGTAAAAACTAGTCCTAGTCAGTTTAGTTATCCATGAGAATGAGATGAAGCATTGATATAAAAAAAAAATCATAGGCTTTAATAATATAAACCAGTTTTCAAAAACATAGTAAAAAAAAGGGGGGTTTGTTTAGAGTAAGGCAAAAAATGTAAAAGAATACTATTGATTCACAGGGTAGTGTGAAGATAAGTATTTGATATATATGGTGAGATAAGGTATTTTTGAACATGTTCTTTTGGGTGGAAGTAAATGGGCACCACCTATAGTAGTTTTGAGAAATTCAAATTGATGATAAATTTAAGGAAATCGCCACTATTAACTCTCCAATCAGATTGCTTAGATGGACTCATGCCTTATGGGGTAAAACATCAAGTGTCATCTTTCACAAAGCAATAGAAAACTTTCAAAGAAGGGATATAAAAAATTATGATAATATATCTAGATGATATATGCTTGGGTACCTATAAATCCTATGCATACAGTCCTAACTTGAGTAGGCCTATATCATTATAACTGGTTTGCATCAAAAAATAAAGATAATGTGACTTTTATATCATACATATTCATTCTTCAATATTTTCTAACAGAATTAGAGACAAAATCTTTGAAGAAAGGATATAGAAGAAATAACAATTAAAATAAAAATGCTATAATGTAAGACTTTTTACATATATATATATCATTTCAAATAAGCAATTAAGTACAAAACAAAAATAAAACTACTTTATAAAAGAAGTTGAAATATAATCTTTTACAGGATATAAAAGACAACAAAAATAAAAATTCTATAATGTTAAATTAAGGTTATCCCAGGTAACGCTAAAAAAGTGGTATACCCTGGAGAAAAAAGGTCCCCAAATAGATAAAAAAAATTGTAATGTGTAAATGTTTGTTAAAATTAAAGAGGGAAGACCAAGGTATTTTTTAATTATTTTTAAAAAAATTTTTTTTCATTTGCAGCATTTTTAAATTTAGGTTGAAAATCTTTTTTTTTTTTAGGTCAAAAAATTAGGTAATATTAACATTACTTGTTTTTCACTGTTTTCAGTTGAAAAAACATTGATTTGGAAAATCTTGCAAAAATCAAGTACTTGATGGATTTTAATGAAACTTTCAGAACTTATTCACAAATGAATGAAATTATTTTAGAAATGTTTGTCTTTTTGAAAGTCATGGTATAAATATTTTTTTTTTAAATTTTTTCGAACTTAATTTTTGAAAAATTTGAAAAATTTATTTTAAAATTTTTTTTTTTTTTTCAATTAAATGCACAAGACTTGAAGATTCTAAATCATCGATTTTTTTTTTTTTTAAAAAAATGCAAAATTTCCAAACTTTTACCTCAATTGTGAATCGAAAAAACCCAATAAAACTAAGACAATATTTAATTTGAAAAAAATTTTTTATGACTTTTCTGAATAACATATACTAAAGGTAATTCTTATCTGAAAAAAAAATTTTTTGATGAAAAATGATTTTTTTTACAATAATTTTTTTTTTTTTTTCAATTTTAAATACACAATATGACAAAATTTTTTATATATTTTAAAATTAAGTTTTTTTAAAACCTTATGGAAATGACATTATTTTGTTCTCTACTTCTTATAGATCATAAATTAAAAAGCTTATTAAAATCTGACAACTGTTGATATTTTTAAAATAATTTTTTAATATTCAAAATTGTATTTAAAATCGTCTCCAATGAAATATGGATGCACAGCTTTGAAATAATGTATCGTTAAGGTAGAGTTGTTATAGATAGAAACAAGTTTTTTTACTTCAGAAACATTTTCATTCATTCAGTTAACAAAAAAGCAAAATTTGAAAAATTTTATAGCATTTCAATATTAATTGACCAATTAATAAAAAAATATGTATAACTCAATTTAAAAATGTTTTTACTGTTTCATTTTTACTTGTAAAATTTGATTTTTTTTCACAATTTAAATGTTATTTTCAGTGCAAAAATTTTTCTTCAAGCGTAAGTTAAAAAAAAAAAAATTGAAATTTATTTTTTTTAACTTTTAAACTAACCAGGTTCATTTTAAAATTGAAAAATTATTACATCACTTCACTTTCCTTAAAAAAGATAAATTCCTTGACATTTGTCAATATATTGAAACCATCAATTTTACCCTTCAATCACGCTAATTCCCTTATAATGGTTGGAAATATCTCTATTAAAAATTTTCTGCTTCTTGTGACATAATGTTTTTTCAAATTACATTAAGTATGTCATATTTAATCATTCTAAATTTCTTAAGATAAAAAAAAAAAAGGTGTAACTAATTTTTAATTTTTTTTAATTCCAAATTTTTTTTTGTTTACAAATTTGTAAGAAATGACAGATAAGGGTTTTTACTAGTTTTTTATTCAAGAAAACAGATTTTTTAAATAAAATTTTTCAAATTTATAGGAAGATTAAGAAAAAAATCTGAAAAAATGGGACAAAAAAATTCTTTGTTTTCCCTGTTTAATTTTAAAATAAACATGTTTAATTAAAAATTTTTTAAAACTTCTGACTATTTTTTTCCAGAGGAATATTAAATATTTTTTTAGTGTTACCAGGGACATTTTCATATTAAATATTTTTTTTAGATATATATTTTTGCAAATACAAAACAACACAAAAAATTTAAAATAAATTTAAAAAAATTGAGATGAATTTTTTTAAAAAAGAAATAAAATATAAAGAAATTTTTAAATAACAATGAAAATTAAAAAATGTAACTATTTTTTAAAAATTTGTCAATTCAATACATCAGTCCATATAATTTTTTTGACTATATATTCAGGGTGAAATAAAAAAATTGAGAATGACTCCAATTTGTTTTCACTTTTTATTTTTTGTTTTTTTACAGCCAATAAAGAACTACTGAAACAAAAACCATCCAAGTATTAAATAGACTAAGGATATCTGGAATGACTATTAGTGAAGATAAATGTGTATTTAATTGTGAAAAAATATATCTTTGGTACAGATCTCAAAAGACAGGATTTCACCAGGACCAAATTTGACACAGAAAATATTAGAGGTGTCTCCGACCAATAAAAAAGAAGTAGAATCATTTTTGGGTTTTGTGAATTTTTATAGTAAATACTCAGAACTAATTGAAGCATTTGCCAATTTGTATAAAAAGAACAATGAATTTAAATGGACTAATATACAACAAGCAGCATTTGATAATCTGAAAAATGCTCTTGCAAAAACCATGTAAGCAAAATTTTTGACACCCAAAAGCATGTTACATTAACTACAGATGCTAGTAAAAATTCTATATTGGCAATTTTACTCCAGGAAGGACACTATTAATTAATTTTGGCCAGATCCAATTACTCAAATATAGAAAGAGACTCTAGTTATAGTTTGGGGCACTAGTAGGGTTTGTCAATTTTTATTGGGCAGAAAATTTTTGTTGATGTCTGACTATAAGCCTTTAGAATTCATTTTTTAACCCAATGAAGGAATTACCAAAAGATACATCTTCCAGAATATTTAGATAGGCCATAAAGCTAATGTCTTTTGTTTTTTATATTGAATATGTAAAAGGAAATGCTATTCTTCATGTAGATGCATTATGCAGATTGTATTTAAAAATGGGACAAAAAGATGGCATATTAGAAAATATGGAAGATTTTTGTGCTGGGTAGAAACTGACATTCTACTAATAAATCGGCTTGCCTCAGAAACATTACAGAATCCAATATTAAATAAAATTGTACCTAGAATAAAAACTAATAAATGGAATAATTGTTCAAAAGATGACAGGCCATACAAAGAAATTAGACATAGATTAACTGTAAAAAATAGTGTTCTATGTAATTGAAATTTAGTAGTACCAACTGAAAAATGTAGAAAAGATGTAATGAAAAGTGTGTATGGCAATGTGCATTGTGGAGTTATAGCTACACAGAAGTGTATGAAGTTAGAAGTATGGTGGCCTGGATATGCACACACTGTTGAAAATCATGTATACAAATGTTTGAAATGTGTTGAAATAAAAAATGCACACATAGCCTAAGGAGACAAGACCTTGACCTCACGTTTATATGGACCATGCACACGTTAACAGTGTGGGATTGTTTTATTTTGAGTGACTCATTTTCTGGCTGACCTGAAATTGTTTGAATTCACAATAGGAAAACTAGTACAATAGGGCAAATATTATCTGTAATATTTGCTAGGAATGGGGTACTGAAAACATTAAATGATATACCATAATTTTGTGATGAAAGTCTGTTCTTGCTTAAGGAAAATTGGATGTATCTCATATAAAACCCTACCATATCATCCACAATGAAAAGGAAATGTAGAAAGAATGATGCATAGACTAAAAAATGATACGTAGACTATAAAAATAGGATTGGGTGCATTTTCATTTCTCCAAGATGAAATTGATAGTTTCTAACCAAGACTATTACTTAGTTACAGAATCATATCAAATGCTGACAGAGTAGAAAGACCATCTGCATTAATGGGGAGACAGATGAGAACCCCCATTAACCATGTCTTCATCAGTAA